TATAAGTACCGACAGCATGGGGGGGTGGTGACAATACGACCAGCAGGAGAGGCGAGGAAGCAGAAGGAAGAAGGATTGTAAAACTCACCTTGTCAGAAAGGTCATAATAGTACCTTCAAAAAAAATTTTAAAAAGAAATATTGATTGACAGTGTATTTTTAAAATAATTTTGGTTAAGTACCTTTATAAGTCAATGCTAAAAAATTTGTCATTTGAATCCTCTTTTGTATTTCTTGAGTTCTATATTATCGTAGAGTAAAATTACAATAAAATCACTTTGTAGCAACTTCCTTTTTGAAACTATTGTAGCTCAATTCACAATAGAATTCGTCTATCAAATATATGTTTCGGTTTCCTCAATATTGTTGATTATATCATAAATGCCTAGATAATTAAGCTTCCACTAATTAAATATTAATGTAAATATTAAGCATTCTGTTTAATTTGTAAGTAAAATTCATACTTAATTAAATTCACATTAAAATATTACCAACTTTTCGTATTTTGCTATTGTAATGCAAATCCCATGTTAGTTTTTTTGGTGATGAAAAATACTGTTAAGTCTAAAATAATCATTAAAATGGCAGTTTGAATATAGGAAATGGCGTCATTTCTGGAATAGACATTCGTGTAAGTTGGATTCTATGTACCCATTGGAATTTTGTTTTATTTCTAGAATTATATTTGGAAAAAAAATGTCTGAGTGGAGCTGTGAAGCTGCTTTTAGCCGCAGAGCATGCGTGTTTCCATAGTAACAGTTGGAGGTTTCTCTAGTGACAGCTGCCCCCCATCTCCTGGGAGAAAGAATTCCTCCTTCCACTGCAGCTGATAGGGAGTTTGAAGACAGTGTAAAGTCTAATGTGTTTTGTGCTCCCGCTGGCAAAGGCTTTCCAGGAACGGCACAAATCATGGCTGGGAGGGGTTTGGAGGCCGGCTCTACGCTGAGTTTAGGACCTCAGTGCTTTCCCGCTTCCCAGCCAGAGCATCCTGACCCTGAGTGTGCTGCAAACACTTCTCCAAGTGCAGCCCCTCGGCTTCTCTTCTGGGAGAACCTGGATCCCGGTACCTTGGGCCTAGGAGAAGCATCACACACTTAAATACTGCCCCAGGTGCCCATGCCACAGTATGGAAGGGTCCAGATGTTCAGATCCAGGCATGCTCTTACAAGTGATGTCCTTTATACTTACTGCATTCTTTGTTTTGCCTCTTGTCCAAGTATTTCCTATGGAAAAGACATATGTACGTTACAAGTGGCTCAAGAGCTGAGAGAGATAATTTCTTCACTGGTTTCTTGTTATGCTGCATGTTGGTCATTCTTAACTGAGAGTCAGGATGTTGATTATCTTACAGACACACACGCACCATAGCAAGATTTCAACTAGAGTCTCTATATCATGAAAACTGGGATTATATATGCATGTATATATTATTATTATTGTGAACAAATGCTTCCTAGTTCATCAGAACTGGCTAGTGTTTAGGTTTTAATTCTGGGGATTGCAGGAGGGAATGTTCTATAAAGAAGCAGTTCTGGCATGCATAGTAAGAAGAATCATATAAGAAATGAATTGGATTGCTTCAGAGTGTTTGAGTAGCTAGGGAAGAGAAGTTAGGGCCCTCGCACCACACATCACATCACACTGGTACCTGTGGTGGAAGACAGAATGGTTTGCAACCCCTGGGCACCATAGGAACAGCCCAAGGGAACCCACCTGAAAATCTCAAGTGGTTTAAGCAAACGTGGAGTGACGCACAAACATTTTCCTCTGGTGTTTTATGTTGTGATTAAAAAAAAAGATCTATTTGCAATGCAGAAACTGTTGAAGCTCATCTGGAAGCATGGTTTGTGGCTCTCCAGATTTTGACCTTAACAGAAGCTTCCTAATAAGAGGAGAACACATTGTAGATTAGTCTGAGACAATAAATAAATTGAGTAAATAAATTTAAAAATTGTCATAATAGACTTATTTTATCACACAGAGTGCTGTTCACTGAAACATGCCCAACCCAGCTTCTTCCCCCGGCACACAGCACCTCTGGCTGTTGGTCATTTGATATGCCACCCAGAGCCGTGCCCCAATACTCTAGAAGGTAAAATGAACTTATTGCTGAGGTTGTGAGCCTCGAGGTCTTGCTAACCATGGGCTATGGATAAAGACAGCGCTAGGGGAAGGAGCTGGAAGGGTGTGTTAGAGTTGGGGAGCTCAAGTTAATGCTTTGCTCATGTGTGCATCTGTAAAAGGCAAGAGCCAACTGACTGGCTAACCTGATGATCTCCGACACACCCACTGCCCCCTTCCCCGGAACTTCCCTTCACAGCGTCTGTCTGACCATTGCTCCCATCGTGGTTTCTGTCTTGAGCACTGCGCTTATGGCTGTACGGCACTATTGTTCAGGCCCTTGGGTCATTTGCTGCAGAATACTCGCTGGATGAACAAGAAGTGGAACACGAAGATGTGAATAGGAGTCTCCTGACCGCAGCTGAGTTCCAATAAATTGGTAGGGACATGACATTTCAAGAAAAATGTCACTAGACACCAGGCTTCCTGTGTGCCAGGCCTTCTCGGAACAAAGACCAATGTTCTTAAGGTCAGAGGCACCATCTGTGTCCAGGAACTGAAATCCCATTCACGCGAGTTTCCCTCCATGGCAAGAGAGCTGGTCTCCACGCTTCTAGAGTGATTCTGTCCCTAGTGGGGCTCCTACTTATCACAGGAGTAGAACCCTGATGGGATCTCTTGGGAGAACAGTCCACAATTTCAGAACAAGGGCAAACACAAAACTGTTACAGAAGGACAGTCAAAAAGTCATTAAATGCCACCAAGAGCTTGAAGGGGCAGCTACCTACCCACATCAGGGGACCACAGGGAAAGAATAAATTTACTTCTTGTTCTCTGGTTTTGTTGTATGTTTATATTTGTTTGTTTGTGTATGGATGTGTGTGAGGGCAGGCATGCACGTACATGCCAAGGAGTGTGTGCGGAGATCACAGGACAACTTTCCGCCATCAGTTTGGGAGGCCTTACTTGCTCAGCTCTCTGCAAGGCAAGCCCCCTCCCTGCATGAGTCACCCCCAGCCCGACGTTGTATTTCCTCATTGTTGGCTTGTTTCTTAGAGGAGCACAGACAATCAGAAAATCTTCCTGACAGACAATTTAAATTCCGCGATGCTTGCGCTGAGGATGAAGACAGCATTTCCCCATCGGAGAGCAGCAGCTTTCTCTACAGAGCCTCTTTTCTGCTCTCCCAAAGTGCCAGAAATCTTGCAGCCAGGAAGCAAACAAAATAGCTGCCGACGAGGCACCAATGTTCCGTGTCTGCTATGAAAACGAAATCAAGCGATTGAACTGATTATTCAGAAGAGGCTCCATTTAGAGTGCGCTTCTATCTGATGTGTAATAACCGCATAATGTTCCTTTCTGTCGTGCGTCTGAGCTCAGAGAGCTGCTGCCCTGATTGCCACGCGGTGCTGTGAGGTCCTAGAAGGAAGCAAGGACTGTGGTGGTCAGATACCGCCCAGTGGAACTTGTTTGTGTGGTAATGGATCACCTGCATAGCACCTCAGGGTTTCCACTCTTTTATTCCAGTGAGCTTTCAGCTGAAGCACGGCTCTATGGGTCAGGTGGAGTGTCCTGCATGGGCCACTTTTAAACCTAAGGTCAGAGGCTCCCCTTAGCTCACCCTCTTGGCACCTCCTCTTTTCCATGTCCAGGACCCAGGTTGGGATAATTCCCCACTCATAAAAAAAGTCCTCTTATATGGTGTTTCTTTAAACAGTCTTAGATAAGCAGCTTATGACGTCTGAACCTTGAGGGCTTTATCTCTAAAACAGGAGGCTAAGGGGAGGTGGTGGAAAGGGCCTCACAGTGGGTGGCCTGCAGGAAAGACCTGCAGCACTGGCACTGAGTTCAGCAAGCGGTGTGTGAGTGGGTCACCTGCCTTTTTCTCCCGCCTTCTCCGCCTTCAGGCTGTTCATTTATTTCACAACTTCTTGGTTCTGCACCAGGAAACCGATCTTTCCTCCTGGTACAGCCGACTTTCAACTTGTAAGACCAGGCCAGACTCAGGCACACTGCCTGGCCTAAGCAAAGCCTTTTGTTAGAAACTACTACCTCGCAATTTATGGATGCATTTTTAACCTCCTTCCTGCCCCTTAGGACTCTGCCTCCTGCCACAGAGCCGGGTTGATGACATTTTTATTAGCTCTGACTCTGAGAAAGGAGAACGACTCTTCAAAAAGACCATGAATGGAAACTATTCGGCAAGGAAGACAAGCTCCTATAATACCTACAGCAAAAGAAAAACAAAAGAACAAAGAAAATAGCTCTCTAATGTAGTCTTCTTCAACAAAATGTGGTATTAAGGTCCTGCAGGCTTCGATTCCCCTATTCCCTTGAGTATTTATGGCAGTTTCATCTACACTGTCATTGTAGAACCATAGAAATATGAATATAAAACATTATATTTAATTTAATACATTGTATTTATAATATTTAAATATTGAGATATGTGCTTTTTTTCGATACAAGGTTTCTCTGTAGATTCAGAGTCTGTCCTGGAACTAGCTCTTGTAGACCAGGTTGGCCTCGAATTCACAGAGATCTGCCTGCCTCAGCCTCCCAAGTGCTGGGACTAAAGACGTGCGCCACCACCGCCCAGCTATACGTTTCTAATTTGTCCAGGAATTCTAGACTGTTGATGCTGTCCTTAAGCATTTTATAAAGAACAAAAAAATCAAGTTGAATAATTGCCAGTAAGCGGTAGAACTACGTCAAAACCCGTCCAACCCGACATCCAGGTTCTGCCTTCCACTCAAGATCAAGTGGTCTGTTCAGGTGCGGTTACCCGGTCTCGGGAAGATGATAGCTCGGGGTCCCTTTCAGTGATGGTTGTCTCTGATGTACATTTTAACCTCTTAACCTTGAAATTTTGCTTTCACTAGAGCCCTTGGGATTAGTTTCTAAGATACTAACTTACCTGTTCTTCTGTGTCCCTTGCAGCAAGAAGCATAAGGCTTAGAGAAAGCCACGGCACTGTACACGTATGAAATCCTGTGTGAAGGACACAGCAGCATAACCTGTCGAATCCACTCAGGAATAAATGGTGACTCAGTGAATCACGTGTTTGGGATTTTTCTCTTGTGATCTAAATAGTAAGGACATTTGCTTAGCTCCATATGATGATGTTCCTATATAGAGAGAGGTAAGGAACTGGTTGTATAACTCAATGATGGACTTCATGCCTGAGGCCCTCAGTTACATTCTCAGCACCATACACAGAAAACATACCCAGTGTTCATTTCTCCGTATTGGAAGCGAAATGGCTCCTCTCTGGAGCTTGTGCATGAAATAGAGAATCAATAGGAATCACATATATAAGATACCTGAGTCTCATCACTTGGGAAAGAGTGGACACGCAAGGCACCTTTCAAGAAATTGCTGAGCCGGGCAGTGGTGCACGCCCTTAATCCCAGGGCTCAGGAGGCAGAGGCAGGTGGATCTCTGTGAGTTCAAGGACAGCCAGATCTACAGAAGAGTTCCAGGACAGGCTCCAAAGCTACTCAGAGAAACCCTGTGTCAAACAACAACAACAAAACATAACAAAGAAAAAGTTGCTGTTCTGCTAGAACTTTGATTTTATATCCTTATTGTAATCCTTTTTTTAAAAAAAAAAATCTTTTTTATATATGGGCTGAAGAGATGGCTCAGCAAGAGCACTGGCTGTTCTTCCAGGGGACCTGGATTCAATCCCAGCAGCCATATGTCAGCTCACAACCATTTGTAGTTCCAGAAGATCTGATGTCCTATTCGGGCCTCTGAGGGTACAGATGTACGTGCAGGCAAAACACCCATGCACATACAATATAAACTGTGTGTAAATATTCTAGAGTGAGTAAAATATATTGCTCATATAGAATACTATGCCTAAAGTATATTTATGTATGTGTAACTATATACATGTAAAATATATGTATATGTATGTACATATACATACACATATGGCACTTGCTGAAATAGCCTTTTAAAATAGGCTTATTTTTATTTATGTGTTTGTGTGACTGCAGGCCATGTGTGTTCCGGTGCCCCGGGAGAACGAGGCATCCGTTCGTGTGACTGCATGCCATGTGTGTTCCGGTGCCCCGGGAGAAGGAGGCCTCCGTTCGTGT